TTATCTGTAATTATTTTCATTTTGGGCCCTTATTTGTAATTATTTTCGTTTTTGGGCCCTTATCTGTAAATTCCCCATTTAAACCCCTTTAATAGACCCGGGTATAGTGTATAGCTGAGAATTTATATTACTGTATTATACAATATAAGATTTAAAATGCATACACACTTCATGTTTATAATAGACAATCTAGGTTTTTAAAAAGAACCACATTTAATTAAAGATCCTGCGATTTGCACCGGGTATAGGGGTATTTTATCCGGAATTCAATATTAATGCCTCCGACCATAGTATCCTTCTAATATAGTAACCGGGTATAAAAAATTATTAATAAACCCTCAATTTACATACACTCTTATATAGTCACATATACGTATTTGCAAATAAAAATCCTAAATAAAATAATCGGTTCAGGAATACAAGAATCACTAATTTCTCACACTTTATCAGATTTACGATATGTAATTTCAAGGGAGGTTAGCGTTAAATTAAAAGTCAAATGGTGTATTACATAGGAAAGGTCTTGTGCTACTAATATTAAATTAAGTGAAAAATCTGCAATCAGACGATTATTAAAAGAATTTTTAATTATTGTTGTTTACACATCTGCACTGACCTTACTCTTTTTTTATTCACACTTGATTTTTGATGATTTAAGAAAAAAAACAATAGATAATGTTTTTTCATTCGTCCTCTCGAAAAATGACGCACCCTTTAGACTTTGATGTTGAAGAACATCCAAATCTATTTAAGAGAACTGCGTATATTTGCCGGAGGACAATGTTTACTTCATTACGCGGACTTCGCAAAATAAAGAATCGAATTATAATAATGATACTATTTTTATTTGTTATTTTATATTTATTTGGGTCATTGATTAATTTACAATTCATAATGTTAAAGTACAAACTCCGTAATAATTTATACGATCTGGGATTATTATCTTGTTCTTTGAGGAAGACGCCAATTTTATATATGATTGAGACACAAAGGATGTTAGTAGTCTGGGAGGCAAATTGTGCGCTTAAAGATGTCAGAATTCGGTGGTACGAAAACAGGCCAAGTGACGGCATAAGTGTATTACTTGGCACATCGAATATCCTTGTCCCTTTAAAGTTAGATGATTATCATCACGTATATAAAGCAATTATAGGACCATTCGAATCTATATCTAATTATGAGTATGAGATAATTCATAAAGAAAATGAACGAAAGCCTGAGGCTATCATTGCTTCAAATTCCTTTCAATTTTTTCCAGTTCTACCAAACGATTCTAATTCAAGTGCTTATCCTATAAAAATAGTGGCATTTTCTGATAATCAATTTGGCCTCACCGTTTTTAATCGCCTTGTGAAATCCGCTTTCCAACATCACACGCCAAATTTTATAATCCATGCAGGCGATGCCGTGCAAGATTACAAAAATCTTCAACAATGGCAAACAGATTTTTATGATCCTTTGTCAAACTATCAATTATCACAACAAGCGCCTATGATTTATGCGCATGGAAATCATGATTACGATAAACAAAGTATATACGCTTACACTACTGACATGCCTTGGTATTCATTCACGATAGCTAATACGCGTTGGATAGTGTTAGATAGTAATATAGATGACATTAAGCAAGATGAATGGCTTGTTCAAGAACTTTCTTCTTCAGAAACAAAAAATGCTGAATTTAGGATTGTAGTCGTGCACATTCCACCTTTTGTCGAATTTTGGGAACCTGGAGCGTGGCATGACAAAAATGAAAAACAATGGGGAGAATTCGTACGTACGAGATTTGTACCTTTATTTCGCACACACGGAGTAGATTTGGTAATAAGCGGACACCAGCATAATTATCAACGTGGACAATTAGATGGAATAGTGTATGCAATTATTGGTGGGTCTGGGGGTGAATTGGATCTTGAAAATGTAGAGGATTGGAAAATGTATGTGACTACGAAAAAAACACATCACTATGTTCTGATGGAGATATGGTCGGATAAGATCATTTGGGTCGTATATGACCTTGAGGGTTTCGTGATCGATAAATTTGAATTGGGCAATGGTGTTATTTTTTCATCATTTTCATAAAAGTTTATCGCCAATTACTGTAAAACTCAAAAAATAAGCACTTACTATTAATACCCGCATAATAAAATTTATGATCAGTAAAAATAAGCACCTTATATAACCCCAGAATTTAACAATTTCAATAGCAATAGCGATAATTCAATTTCAATAGTGACAACGATAGTTCAATCTACATATGTACAGTACATACATTAATATACAGATTTGTAAAATAACTAGAATAAATCTTTTTTCGTTTAATTTTAGCATGTCTTGACTTTCTACCTCCATCAATGATATAAGACATTTTCTGTTAAACTGGTAAATGGTTCCTCTGATGTACTATTCTTTATACGTTAAAATGATTTTCGCTTCCATCAAGTTCATTCGAAATTCCACATTTTGAAAGATTTCTTAACAAGTTCGGCAGGAATATCTTCCCAAACATCAACAATCCATTGACATATCAAACCATACGCGGGCTTTTAAATTTTCCTCCTTGAGTAAGTTAAAATTCACCATTTACCAACCAATTCTCCATTTTTCACGCAGTTGACCCTGAAAAGCTTGTTAACAAGTAATGTAAATCCTTCGGTCATAATAGTATTACATTCTGCACATTTTTCTGACTTTATCAGTTAGATGTCCTTTGAAAGCATCCAGGGTTAATAAACTCCGTTTTTTTTTAGTATTTAAGTTTGCAAATTTCGAGGTAATTTTTGCCCAAGTTTTTGTTTAACGACGAAATGAAAGATCATACCGATTCATAAAACTATAAAACCAGTTATTGGAAACTTTAAATGTTTCGAATGCATTTGGGTAATGTTGGAGAAAATTATTCGTAAGATTTTTCATTTTGAGCTTCACGGCAGAAGGCATTACAGCAATTCTTCATTGCATAGTTCATCAACCCATCGTTTTGATGAATCTTCTGCAAGAGGATACGTTGCTTTTTGACCTGAACATACTCGTTGAATAAAACTTCTTGACGCTTTAAATTTTCCTTTTTCACGTCAACGTTTAATCATTGTATGATCAATATCATATTTACGTGCTGAAGTATTATTGCTAGTTAAAGGTAACAGTATAACTTTTTTTTTCTTTCGGCATAATTAATTACAACTATCCAAGTTTTTATAACAAGGCCATTAATTTATATTATGCAATATAATGCAAACCCGTATTATTACGTATCTTCCATTAAACTAAAGTTTAACTTAATTATTGTAATTGAAGTTTCCTTTGTAACGTAGTTGTATAATACATCTACTTGAATAAGTAGTTATGTATCCAATGGAGATCTTGAACCGATGTTTTATCAATCTTCAAATAACCAGAAGATAAGCTCCACTACTAATTAAAAAAAAAAAGGTGTATATTTTCTGAGTTTACGGTACTTAACAATATATCTTTATAAAAATGAACTGAAATTCGAATATTTTTATTAATGTTAGTTCTAGCTAATTCAAGCATAACAATATATCAGAAATAAAAGAACAATTTAAACATGTCAACTAGGAACATCAGATGAAGGAGTGTTATCTTTATCATCATTGTCAATATTATTGTTCTGAGGGATAATTAAAAGGTTTTTCGCCACCAATCCGTAGCGATCAGAAAGTTTTAAAAATCGAGCATATAATAGGCTCTCGTTCTAAAAAATGATACCTTTATATTAATGGGTTACAGGATTCTCACATGGTGCACTAGAAATAACATAATTCTTACCTCAAAGGCTTCGAATATTTCACGGTGATGAAACCATGCATGAGCAAATATCCTATAAAGCCTTCTCGCTATGGATTGGTAATGTTTTAATGAAGTTTCGGGAATCGATATTCTTTAATAGCAACAATCAAAATATTAAGCAAATACATCATTTTCTGTAATTATCAATAATTATTAATTCGAGGTAACTGACCTGCTAGGAAAATACTTTTGGCTATTAAGCAATGCAGTTGCACCATCCAAAGTATGCACAATGTAATCGATCGCACAACACTGGATTTAATTCCATGAGAGTTTTACGTCAGAAAAATATAAGAAAAAAAAATTTATTTAATAATAATTACCTACGTTCGTGGGGGCCTGATGGGCAGCACACAGATACATCCATTCATCGGCTTTCATTTCGGGACATGATTGACGATTACATTCAGCTTCTAGTTGAACTACCAAATAATTGAGTTCAAGGCATAATTGTCTGTTAATTTATTTTTATAGAAAATAATGTAAAAAGATTTTTTTTTAAGGTTTATTAAATAAAGAGATATAATGTGTAAGTAAATACCTCAAATGCTCATATTGCCAGGCCTCCTTCTCATGGCCCGGTGGTAATTCAACTAATAAGTCTATATTTTCTTTGTCGGTTCGTATTAATGATTGTAAATACTCCTGCAATGCGAACGCAGATTCGTATTTGTCTAATGCTATGTGAGGGAACTGATACGCATCCTAATAAAAAGGTGTACGTGAACTTCTAATAAAAAATTTGGTTGCTCTAGAAAGAGGTTAATATAAGCTTTTGTAGAAAATAACATACTTCAAACTTAGTTCCAGGACGATTTCGCCGCACAGGAGTTGGGTTGAGAGTTGTTTCCGTCGTCGAGACAGTCGATGCCATAATTATGAACTTTTAAGATCGGCATCACGAGTATTATTTTTAAACATCGAATAACCAATTACAACTAATCAAAAAATACTTAATATTTATACCCCTACTGATCAAAATTTTTTTGAATTTTATAGATTTAAAATTTGGTCTAATGGTTGCTGAGATATCTTCAAAGTTTGAAATGTTCAAAACGTTTATCAAAACAAAAAAAATGTCAAATTTTCTCTAAATTTTGAACGAAAATATTTAGCTAAATTTGAACTTTTTTTATTTGAATTCTATGAATTTATAGAATTTAAAAAAAAAAAAGTTTATTAAATTGATTTGTAATTGCTAAGGTATCTTTATTTAAAAAAAAGAATTATAATTGTAATAATCATTATTTTTAGGTATTTTTAAAATAAAACAGAGATCAATTAAAAAATTTAAATTTTAGCTAGAGTTAGATTTTTGGGTTTTGAATATTTTTGCTAAATACTTCTAAGTTAACCAGAAGGTTTTTGAGATATATAGTATTCTATATAGTAATAATTACTACTAGTTATAGTTAAAATTAGAAACTGCTATTTATATTTTTTATTTTTGCCATCTATGTTTCTACTTCTATGAAACAAATTACCACATTTCTGCGACATGTGTACTCGGGATATTCCACTAGCTCATATTATGTACCCGGGTACTCGTGTGGGGGGATACATCGTATGAATACTTCTATGTATTTATATGTTTTACTATTAAATGCCCGGGTATATAAGTATGATATCCTACCCGGGTATAAAATCATCCAAAATCGCCACAGAAATACGGTATTTAACTAAATATATATTGTATGGTGATAGTATAGAGGTGTGATTAAATAAAGGTGTCTCTATATAATCACATTATATAAAAATTTCAAATATATGTGATTAATCGTCCTATTATTATAAATCTAAAATAACTATATTTGATATACTAAATAAAAATAATTAGCACTATAAAAAACCTTATCCTAGCTTATTTTTAACTCTAAATATTATTTTTAACTTTAATTTTAAAATTTAAGTATAAATTATAGGTTATAGTTAAAATTTATAATTTTAACTAGGAATTAAAATTAGTTAAATTCAATAACAAAAATTAATTTAAAAATTTTTATATTTAATTATTAATTAATATTAGGCTATATAAACTTTATAAATTGCCTTTAATCGAATATACTCAAAAAAAGCTGCTAATAATTGGCAACATGTTAGTGCTATAATTAGGGATGTAGCCCAAACTATTTGGGATGACCCAAATAATGTGACAATTAGTATCACACTGTTTTGACAATAAGTATAAACTTAGTAAATACCTATGTGATCCTAATTGTCACATAGTTTAGATCATCTCAAATAGTTTGGGCTACATCCCTAGTTATAATAAAATGGAGTAAATTGGTACCAATAAAAAAAGATATTCAAAAAGCAAAACAAGTAAATATATCAACAAGCAACTTGAGTATCAAAAAATTCTAAAAAACTATATTTTATATTTTTATTATATCCAAAAAAATCAAAATTAGTAGATATAATAGTTGATGAAAAAGTTGTTATTTTTTTTTTTTGGCATGTCCTGCCACTGTTTTATTAATTGGTGATTTGTCAGTCAGCCAGTGTATAGAAATTAGGGTTTTGCGAATATGGGCTGCATTATTCTAAAACTTTTTTTCATACTAAATTAACCACCTTTGAACTTCTAATTGAAGTTGTAGATCTCATTGAGAGAAATCTAATGGTAGTTGAATAATCAAAATCGGCCTTGTGGATCACGAGATATTTTTAAAAAACATTTCGTCAACTATGTATTGCCAAGAGAATTTTACATAGTCGGCAAAATGTTTTTCGAATATCTCGTGATCCACAAGGCCGATTTTGACAATTAAACCACTATTAGATTCCTCTCAACGAGCTCTAC